CATTGTGCAAACAATGCGTGGCTGCTTTGGTGTTCAACACGCGCTTCATAAGGGTCATCCCATGTGTGCGGATGCGCGAAATACAAGCTCTCGTTTTCAAAAATCTGGACTGCTCGGCTGAAGTCCAGGATGCGATAGAGTCGTCCGGCGCTGATGCCCGATGCGTTTGACAATGGAATTTTCCTCCGTGTGAAACCTGACTCAAACATCTGAATCTATTGTTTCACAACGCGATGAAACGAACGCGCAGCCCAATGCCCTCTCTTGGCAGTTTGCATCCGTTGACTTAGGGTACCCGCTGCTGAGTGTTCATGGTGCTGGATTGACAGACCGTAATCATCGAAATGCGCCATCCAAAGAGACCCCGGTCCAAATTGACTCAAGCCGAGCTCAGCCTAGAAGATATCCAGCAGTATTCTTGATGCTCCACGGTAGAGCTACGCAGTACCCATAGCCCATTTCCCCGCTGCAGAGTCAGTCCATCGTTCTAGCCGAACAGAGCTCGGCGCACTTGAGACAGGCTTTCGCCGTCCAGAGCAAGCATCCTGACCTTGTCCAGCCCCTCCTCAAACAGCACAACTCCGAAACCCCAAAGGAGCCGCTCCAGATGAGTCGCGAGCAGGCGTAAATCCTCGTCCTCCCGCCAGGCCTCTCGATTCTCGAAGTAGCGCTCCAAGTCGCGCTCGTAAAGAGTTAGCCAATCAGCTAGCGGTACGTCAGAAAGCTCTGCGCAGGCGCCGAGAGCCTCGGCAAGCTTGGTGCCCTCTCCTGGAAAGGCCGCGCAGGTGGAAGCAGCCGTGGTCAGAAAAATCTCCGCGTGAACCCAGGCGTGCGGGATAGCCTTGTCAGCGTCGTTGGTCTCGATGAGGTACCGCCGCGCTATCTCGACTTCCTGTGCGCAAGCAACAGCCGTGCGTTTCCAGAGCTCAAGAGCATCGGATACCTCCTGCGGCAACAAATCGCCCACCACAGAAAGCCGAGCGCCGAAATAGTGTGAGGCTATACGTTGCGTTGTGCGGAGGCCTTCTTTGGTCAATAGCGGTGCAGGTCTGCTCCACACCTTGGCGGTGACCTTAGCTGTCAGGTGCGCGTAGTACACCGCGCGTCCGGCTTGGTGCCGAATAAGTCTTGAAGCGCCAGCCGCAGCAGGGGTACCGCGTACGATGGAATTCACTAAGCTGATTGGTACGAACAGCTGACATTTCACGTGGCCAGGTGTCTCAACGACGTGACAGGTGCCGGG